GTAGTGTGTGTGTGCACTTGTTTGCCCAGAGCCTCACCAGTAGAGTGTGTTGTCAGGTTTTGGATGCTACAGTATTTATGTGGATGAATCACATGAACCATCCCTTACAAAAGATTTATCTTTGTTTTTCTGCTTACAGAAGTGATATACACTTGTTTTTAAAATTTCAGAATGAGGGAATTCCCTGGCAGTCCAGTGGTTGGGACTCTGCACTTCCACTGCAGGGGGCACAGGTTTGATCCCTGGTCGGGGAACCTAGGATCCCACAAGCCACGCAGTGCGGCCCAAAAAAAAAATGTTCAGAATGAAATACATGGTGTAAAAGTGGATGTTCCCCTTAATCTCATGTGAGAATAAAGCACTGAGATATAGTTTTCCTCAAAAATTTTTTGGCCTTATGTTAATCTGTGTATTACTATTCTTTATTTTTATAAATAGGATTATATCATATGTTACTGTTTAGCAGTTTGTTTAATGTATTTCTGAGATCTTTACATATCAGTACATACAGGTCTTCCTCACTCTTTTTAAAGGGCTTATAAGTATTTCATTATGTTGATATACCATATTTCTTTAAATTCTACAGAACCAAGTGAATTAGTTTTAATTTTTGCTGTGGTGAACTGTGCACTTCTTTATAAACACATCTGTACACACTTATGTGAATATTTCTGTTGAAAAAAATCCCTAGAAGTGGAATTGCTATGGCAAAGTCATGAATCCTTAATTTTAATTATATATCACCAAACTACTCCAAAATGGTTGTACGTATTTATCCTTATGGTGACCACACATGCGACTGTCCTAAACCAGCTCTCTGTGCTTCTCTGCTGTCTCAGTTGGGAAAGCCTCTGGAGGAGTGGTTGGAGAAGACGTTGCCTGGCAGTGACTGGACACCTAACGCCCGGTTCATCATTCGTTCTTGGCTTCGGGATGGCCTCAAGCCACGCTGCATAACCCGAGACCTCAAGTGGGGAACCCCTGTGCCCTTAGTAGGTTTTGAGGACAAGGTAAAAACGCTATGCTTTATTCATATCTCATATTATTCAGCCTTGGGATTGAAACCCTGGGCTAGCAGAACAGACTTGATTGTGTCTTGATTCAGTCTGAGGCTTTGGGTTGGCAAGGTTTTCCCAGTGTTCTTGCATCTTACTGTGTCTCCTCCCTCCTGACCCTCCAGGTATTCTATGTCTGGTTTGATGCCACCATTGGCTACCTGTCCATCACAGCCAACTACACAGACCAGTGGGAGAAATGGTGGAAGAACCCAGAACAAGTGAGCAGTTCTTTGTTAGCCTGTCAAAGACCTGGGGAGGGTGCGTGTATAGTGGGGGTGGTTAGGGGTGGGTAGCTGATCTTTCTTGGGCCTTTGAAGAGGATGTCAGGAGCTCTGTCTCCCAATTATATTCCATAGGTGAGCCTGTATCAGTTCATGGCCAAAGACAATGTTCCCTTCCACGGCTTAGTCTTTCCTTGTTCAGCCCTAGGAGCTGAGGACAACTACACTTTGGTCAGCCACCTCATTGCTACAGGTACCCTGGGAGATTGGAGAGGGGGATGTTCTTAGGGAATGAGGGCCAAGACAGTACTTGGAAGAAACTCCTGGAGAGGTGCTAGGTCTTGAGTTAGGAGTTGAGATGGAATAGGAAACAATTAGAACATGGAAGCTCAATGCAGAAAAGGAAACAAGGGCTTCCCTGGTGGCGCAGTGGTTGAGAGTCCGCCTGGCGATGCAGGGGACGCAGGTCCGTGCTCCGGTCCAGGAGATCCCACATGCCGCGGAGCGGCTGGGCCCGTGAGCCATGGCCACTGAGCCTGCACGTCCGGAGCCTGTGCTCCGCAACAGGAGAGGCCACAACAGTGAGAGGCCCGCATACTGCAAAAAAAAGGAAAAGGAAACAACCTGAAGAGAGCAGAAGTCCAAAGCTAAATTTTGTAATGGGTAGAAGTAAACAGAAGACCAGAATGCAGAGGAAGGATCTCCCAAGTTCTGTGCAGGCCAGCTACTCTAGAACTGAGGTTGAGGGAGAGGAAAGAAGAGTTAGTGGGTCAGAGAGGAAGGACATGATTTTTTTTTTTTATACAGCAGGTTCTTATTAGTTATCTGTTTTATACATATTAGTGTATATTTGTCAATCCCAATCTCCCAGTTCATCCCACGAGGAAGGACATGATTTGAACAGATGGTTCTCATTCTCCTTCTCTGTCCAGAATACCTGAATTACGAGGATGGGAAATTCTCTAAGAGCCGGGGTGTAGGAGTGTTTGGGGACATGGCCCAAGACACAGGGATCCCTGCTGACATCTGGCGCTTCTATCTGCTGTACATTCGGCCTGAGGGTCAGGACAGTGCCTTTTCCTGGACAGACATGTTGCTCAAGAATAATTCTGAGCTGCTTAACAATCTGGGCAACTTCATCAACAGGTGGGACCTGGTGAGGGGTGAGAGTCAGCAGATGAGCCTGGGGTGGGGCTAGTAGGCCACGTATGCTTGGTGCGAGTTAGTTGTAGAGATGTGATTTAGCAGAGTTGGTCACAAAGTGAATTTTTGTGAATTATTTTCTTATTAATGTTCTTTGTAGAATTGGAAATGTGTTTTTTCCTAGCAAAAAGGTTCACTTGCAGACCACTGAAAAGTTTGGCTGAAGAAGGGGGTTATTTTAGCATAGGGGTAGGAGACTTCTGCTGTACTTTTCAGTTTTCTTACTTCAGGCTCACATTCCATTATCGGTCCCTATCTCAGCTACTCTGCAACCTAAAGAAATATTCTCCATGGCTACACACGCTTTCAGGTTTGCTCATTAACCACATTGAACAGATAGTCCCTACTAGAGGATTTATTTGTTTGGTAGCAATTAATGCATATTTCAACGTGATCATTCTGAGTTTTTAACTTCTTAAAAATAAACGGTTGCTTAACTTTATTAGTTCCATTTATATAAGGGATATCTGTATATAAAACGTCTGTTATGTGCAGACTCATATTCTTACGGGAGAGGGAGAATAAGGAATTAATTTGTTAAGTTTTGCCTTCCAGCTTGAGGGAGCCAGGTGGTTTCAGTTCTGAGAAAATGCAGAATTATGAAAATCGTGTCAAATTTCTCTAAGGAGACTGGGCAGTAACTTCTCTTTTCTCTCCCCTCTCCTGCCCTCCTCCCATCCAGAGCTGGGATGTTTGTGTCTAAGTTTTTTGGGGGTTTTGTGCCTGAGATGGTGCTCACCTCTGATGATCGGCGCCTGCTGGCCCATGTCACCCTGGAGCTCCAGCATTATCACCAGCTGCTAGAGAAGGTTCGGTAAGTAGCTATACCTCTGTCTCAACTCAGTGATCTGCTGGCATGTTCAGAGCCCCATACTGGTCCCCCCAGAACCTTACACCTTGGCCTGCATCCTTCCTTCCCAGGATCCGGGATGCCTTACGCAGTATCCTCACCATCTCTCGCCATGGCAACCAGTACATTCAGGTGAACGAGCCCTGGAAGCGGATTAAAGGCAGCGAGGCTGACAGGTAGGTAAGGAGGTATGGTTGGCTCTAGGAATAAAGTGGCTGGTAGGCTACGTCCTCCTGGGGGTCGTGACTAATATCTTTTCTTCCTCAGACAGCGGGCAGGGACAGTGACAGGCTTGGCAGTGAATATAGCTGCCTTGCTGTCCATCATGCTCCAGCCTTACATGCCCACGGTTAGTGCTACCATCCAGGCCCAGCTGCAGCTCCCACCTCCAGCCTGCAGCATCCTGCTCACAAACTTCCTGTGCACCTTACCAGCAGGACACCAGATTGGCACAGTAGGTCTCTAGATTTGAAAGAGCCAGCTTCTCTCAAAATTCCTGCTTTTGCCAAGCAGCCTCTGGGGAGGGGTCAGGGAAGAACTTAACTTTGGGCATGAGACTCTCATAGCTATTCGAACCCCTTCCCCACTCATCCCCACTCTTCACTTAGGCTTGTTTCTAATATAAAGTCCTTAGTATTGGTTTACAAGCCCAGTGTTTTCTGTAGCTCACGTATCCTCACTGTCCTTCATGCCAGGACCCAAGGGGCAGGGAGAATACAAAGTAACCACTTCCTCAACACAAGGGGATAAAAGTATGTACACCTCTAAGCTTTTGCATCAACCTAGCATCATTAAATAGTTTAAATAACTTTTGACCCTAGTGAATGCTTTTTCTGGATTCTTTACTGAAATCAGCAGGTATTTGCTCAGTGTTACACTCTGTAAGTGTTTTTTCTAGACCACTGAGTTCCTAAATGTCAGAAGTTGGGGTGGAGAGGCCCTCTATATAGTCTGGTAGAGTTTATACCTAATCAGTGAATGATTCTGGAATTCTTTTTTTCACAGGTCAGTCCCTTGTTCCAAAAACTGGAAAATGACCAGATTGAAAGTCTGAGGCAGCGCTTCAGCGGGGGCCAGGTGAGAAAGCTAAAGACTGTGCCTCACCCACCAACAGTTAGCATCCTCCAGTAGCCCTCACTCATCCCTCTTTTCATCTATTGGCCCTGCTGCTTCCTCACTTCATTTTTCTTTCCTGTCTTAGCTAGAAGAGTCCTTGTCATTAAAGGTAATCATTTTCCCCCTGAGATGTTATATAAAACTTGAGGTCAGGGGATGTATATGGTAGCAGGTGCTAACTCTGTTGTTGATCTCAAGGCAAAAGCATCCCCCAAGCCAGCAGCTGTAGAGACTATGACAACAGCTGGACCACAGCAGATACAAGTGCTGATGGATGAAGTGACCAAGCAGGTACGGAGCTTAAGCCCTATGGGAGGCTGGAAAAGCTGAATCCTAAATAGGTCATTTCTGGTCTCACTGTTGTGATTCCCCCATCCCCTCTTCTCTTAGGGCAACATTGTCCGGGAATTGAAAGCACAAAAGGCAGACAAGAACCAGGTTGCTGCAGAGGTGGCTAAACTCTTGGATCTGAAGAAACAGTTGGCTCTAGCTGAGGGGAAACCCCTTGAAACCCCTAAAGGCAAGAAGAAAAAGTGAAAGTGAGAACTTGGATCCTAGAAAGTCACTTTAATGGACGTGGACAGTAATAAATAAATGTACAATCTCTATATACATGCCGAGACCCTCTCCTGTCATCTACCCTAAGTTTTCCCCCTACTGAATAGATGGGGGTGGGAGGGGTCCATCGTTGGCACTGGTGAGAAGGTGGTCAGTAGATACTTCCAGGAAGGGTCGGAAGTGGCCCGAGGGGGAAGTGCTGGTCCCAGCCGTTCATGCTTGGTGCACATTAACCATCCGGTCAATCAGGGCTCGGCGAGTCGCCTCCACCTCCCTGGTCAGGCGCTCGATTTCCTGCTTGAGCCGTTCGTTCTCTTCAGCTAGCTGTGCCACTTTTCTTTCGTTCTCTTGTTCTTTCTCCTTCATGCGTTGCTTTCCAGCCCGTGCCGGGGACTGGCCACTGTGTTTCCGTTTCCTGGGTCTTTCTTGGTCTTCCTCTTCTTCCTCCTGAGCCGGGGAGCTCTGACTGGAATCCGGAGAGCTGGGGCTCTGGGAGGTGCGCGTGACCGCTGCTCGTCCTGGCTCCTCGGTCAGCCAAGCCAGGGAGGCGGGGTCAAGAGTGGTGAAGGTTTTTGGTTCTTCCTTCAAAGGAATGAGGAAAGGCAGAGTAGGTGTTAATTAGCTGAGAAGGGACGGGCAGCCCCTGACCAGCATTAGGCCTAGCATTCTTACCTCCTCGTTTCCAGGGGGTGAGACATAGGTACCCCCATTTTCATCTGAGGACAGCACCTCCTGCAAGTCCTCATACCAGGCTTCCAGCTCCCAGCTGGACAGTGTCCCGAAGGAGAAAGGCAGTGACTCAGCTGCCATCTCTGTGGCTGGATCAGGCTCTGGGAAAGGACATAGTCAGGATAGTGGGTGGGGGAAGAAGCTCCACAAAGCCGTCAGTCTACGGGTTGGCACACTGGCCTGCTGCCTCTCTGTTTTGGTAGATAAAAGTTTATTGGAACACAGCCACATCCATTTATTTACATATTGTTTACGGCTGCTTTCATGAGACAACAGCAGAGATGCATAGTTGTTACAGAGACTATTCTGTGTGGCCCTCAACGTCTAAAGTACTTACTGTCTGACCCTTTAAAATTTACCAACCCCTGATCTAGAATGATATTCCGTCTTTGCTTTTGCCCAGCACATGAAGAAGCAAGTGCCTGGATGTGCATTCTTATGGGTTCCTGGTAAAAGTCTTCGGCCCCCCTTGGGGAACTCCACTGGTTGTGTCCAGGGGCGGTCACCAGACCATCTGTGCTCCTTTCTCCTCCTGTGTGGGGAGCTTGGGCAAACAGTCCTTGGGTCAGTCTAACCTTGGTGGGGACAGAGGTGTGGTGAGACCTCACCTGACTGCTCACTCAGGGCCAGCTTTCAATTAGGACATGCTCTAAGAATAGTGATTTGGTCACCTTGTTAGGGGCAGGTCAGGAGGATGGATGTGGCCTAACAGCAAAAGCCTGCTCAGATTCAAACCGTCCTCTCCCACCTTCTCTAGGTGTTTTCATAATTTCTTAGGGCCCCAGTAAAGGGGGCCTAAGCAGCAATTCTTAGGAGCTGGTTTTGGGAAAGGGTTGGTTAAGTTTACCTGCTTTCAGGTGTGGTGATGTATGAAGATACACTTCCTTCTGGAACACTGTGGGGATCAAAGATAAATGTTAGCCATTTCTGGAAGGGGGAGACAGGCAGGTTCTTTTATCTCCAGCTTCCTACTGCTCCTTCCTTACTTCTTGTCTTCTAGAGTATAGTTAGTTATTGGTCCCTGTAGCCATTTCTAAGGACAGAGAAGAGCCTGACTTCCTTTATTTTTAGTTGCTGACATTTGTAGTCCTGATTACATAATAACAAAATCCTGGCCAACTCAGCTTTCTCTAAATTTAAGGCAGTCCTCAAATCTGCCAGGGTAAGGACTGGACTACAGGGAAGGGAAAAAATCAAGTGGCATTTTCCTAATTCCATTCCCACACTGACATCCTCCAAATGTGTATTTCCACTCTAGACCTCTCCTGGGACCTCCAGCTCTAACTGCTTACTTGCCATTCTCTTTTTGGATATCTAATATGCATCACAGACTGAACGTGTCCAAAGACCAACTCCTGCTAATCTTCTCCTTCCAAGGTCTTTCCCATCTCGGTATACAGCAACTTTAGCTTGAGCCAAAAACCTTGGTATCATCCTTGATTCCTCTCCTCTCACACCCCACAATCCAATCCAAACCACCAGCAAAACTTCTTGAGTCATTCTTCAAAACCCCAGAATCTAAACACGTCTCACCAATTCCACGGTTTCTAATCTAGATCAAGTTACTATCATCTCTCGGGTGACTGCAGAAACCTCTTGACTGCAGGTCTCCCAGTTTCTGCTTCTGCAACCCCTCCCAGAGTCTATTCACAACAGCCCCCAAAGTGAGTCTTTTAAAACTTAAGTCAAGGGCTTCCCTGGTGGCGCAGTGGTTGAGAGTCTGCCCGCCGATGCAGGGGACATGGGTTCGTGCCCTGGTCTGGGAAGATCCCACGTGCCGCGGAGCGGCTGGGCCCGTGAGCCATGGCCGCTGAGCCTGCGCGTCCGGAGCCTCTGCTCCGCAACAGGAGAGGCCACAACAGTGAGAGGCCGCAAAAAAAAAAAAAAAAAAACTTAAGTCAGGCTGTGTCATTCCTCTATTCAAAACCTTCTCATTTCACACATATTAAAAGCTAAATTCCTTAAAATGGCTTAGAAGGCCCTCCACAATCTGCTCTTTCCTTGCTCTGTTTTTCTCATTGACCACTCTCCGTCTTGCTCACTCTAGTCCAGCCAACTGGCCTCCTGTTCCCTAAAGATACTATGCATGCTCCCACCTTAGGACCTCTGCTCTTGCTATTCCTTCTCCTGGAAAGCTCTTCCTTCCACATACCACATGGCTTACTGCCTTGCCTATTTTTAGGTCTTTCATTTAAATATCACCTCAGTGGGGGAATCCCTGACCACCCAGTGTAAACTGTAACCTCCACTCAGCATTCTCTACCCTTCCATGCTTTAGTTTTTTTTCTATGGCACATGTTTGCTTACTGTATGCCTCTTCCCACTGAAATGTAAGCTCTGTGAGAGGAGAGATTTTTTTCTCTCTTGTTCACGGATAAATGCTGGGTCCCAAACTTAACCAGCATGGTAGGTGCTGGTTAAGTATTTGTTAGGAATCAATGGATAAATGTCCCCAATCTCTCATAGGGAAAGGAGGACGAAGTCCAGAGGCAGAGCAGCAGCTGCCTATCCCTGGGGACTGTAGATGCAATATCGTCCTCAGTGCTTCTGTACAGGGCTGTCCTCCCTGGAGAACCCTCCTTGCTTTCCAGTGTGTGGGACATAGCTTTCATCATCAGTGGAGCCCCGGGCCAGAGAGCTGCAGAGCCAAGCAGGGGGCTGACCTGATGCAATGGTTACACAGAGATTAGCTGGAGACAGGACAAGGGGAAAGAGGCAAGGACCAATCCCAGGGGAAGGACAATCCACTGGGGAGACCTCCAAATGGCTTCCTACACTTAAAAGATCCAGGATGCTCTCTTCTGCAGAGGGCTTAGGGACCTCTGGGGAAAAGGAAAACTCATCTCTGCTCCCCGTCCATCGACATCCCTCTTCCCAAAGGCTTGTGTCGGTCTCTTTTAAGATTCTCTCCTCTGCAAGGGTGCAGAAAGAATGTCCTGTGGAGGGTCCAAAAGCCCCATCTACTGACGTGGCTATGCTGGCCCTGAGACGCTGCGGCTAAGACAGGATTGGGGGTGGGGGAGGACGCTAGTGGCAAAGTGGCGGCAGCGGCCTGAACCACTGTCAACCAGCCTTCTCGGCGCGGGGATGTGTCCTGTTGCCCCGCCTCCCACCCGGCAGGCCTAACGAGGAGGCCTGGGGTCTGCAACGGGAGAGAAAAAATCTTCCTAGGGCAGCTGGGGCCCCTTCCCTGAACAGCACAGAGTAAGGCCTATGCTCCGGGCAATGGTGGGATGCTGCTGTCGTGCGAAGGAAGAGGAGTCTGTAAGCACTACTTCTGAATGAAGGCTTCTCATCCCTCCCCCGGACGGTCACTTCACTTCATTGCGGAGGGTGTGGGACCACATCCTTAAGAGCGGATGCCCTAACTTTAAGGTGACAACTGGTGTTCACGAGGATGGGAAGGTAAAAGGTAGATGGGGGAATCAGTACTCGCCTCTCTCCTCAGGTTCCGGCTCTGATTTTGGCTCTGTCGCTGCCACCCGCTCATCTTCAACATGATACACTCTATGCCTTAGACTCAAGCCTCTGACCCGGATAGCGCGGAGCTGAGATCTTTTAATAGGGCCTTGCCCTCCTCTCCGGAGGCGGATCCAGAAGCCTACCAATCATAAAGCGGCACGCCGGCATTGGCCCCGCCTCATACCTTACATCCGCCACTCAGGAGCCCCAAGGCACCGCCCCCATCGCTCCCTCCCGCTTGGGGGTCGACTTAGTGTTGGACCCGGAAGTGGCTTTGGGTCACGAGGCTTCGCGGAGGAGGTGAGTCATGCGCGCGCGCGGAGGGGAGAGCTGGCGGGGGAGGGGAGGAAAGGGGGGCGGGGATGATGCAATGTTTGGCAACCGGTGTCTGCGCGCGCACGCGCAGGGCACTACAAGGGTGGTGGGAGGTGCGGGGGGGGGGGGGGGGAGAGGAAAGAGGGCGGGGCGCCAGCTCGCGGCACCCAACGGCCCCAACAGCGCTCAACCGTGGTTGCCCCTAGGCTGCGGTGTGAAGCCTTACTGCGGCTAGTCTCCCTCAAGAGCTCTTGTTCTGCCCACCTGACTTGAGCCCCAGTTTTACCTCCTCCACAAGAGACTCCCATTTTCTTTGCCCCTCATCCCCTCCCAGCAATGGACACAAGGTCTTTTAAACCTCCGTCCTTTGAAAATTTGCATCCAACCACCAGGGTTGTTTTGCATCTTCTTGAGTCTTCCTAAAGGGGTCCTCTCTTTTAGCTCCCTGGCTCCCTCAGAAGAGGCCAAGTAACTTGAATCCCCTTGGTAGTCATTTTCAGCTCCTCCTCGCTGAAGAGCACCCTTAAACTCTTATCTTTATAAAGTTTTTGATGAGCCCTTGGCATGCCAGAATTCATGTTCTTTGCCGGATGGCCCCGATTCCCACTCTTTCCCTTATCACCTTCCCCCGTGGTGCTCTGGTGCCCTTCACCAAAGATCAGGCCCGCCCTTTTCAGTGTACCAGACCTGCAAGTCCTTTGACTCCCTGCTGTGAGGAGCGGGGCATAGGCCTCCTGCTTTCTAGGTGTTTGGGCTACAGTAGGGCTGTGTTGCCTGGAACACTGCGTGCACGTGAGCGCACGACTGCCTTGGACTAGGTTGTCAGGAGCCCAGATTCTAGCCTCAGCGGTCCCTCACTTGCCCAGGGATCCCAGGCCTGCCTGCCACCTAATCTCCCCGTGCTTCACCGTTCTTGTTAGTAAATAAAAGATAACGAGTTATGGAGGTAAAATGAGAGAATTATGAACTTGGAGGCAGCTTGAACAAAAGTGAAAAGCACCGTGGAAAATGCAAAGTATTTTTCTAGTGCCATTAGGTAGAAAACAGAGGCCATATGGTGGCCTGTTACATATCCTGTCATACCCTCATGGGGGCAGCCGGAGTTTGTCCTAAGTAGAAACTGTCAACAAGGCTGGTTGTGGCTGGGTGGCAGCTTCAGGCGGTGGTGTGACGGTGACAGGTCTTTGGCCAGGCCTGCACCATTGCTCCAGAGCTCCATTTCTCCTTCTGTAAATGGGGGTGGGGGTGGGTTGGAGCAGATGGTCTCTCCTGGCCCGAAGACATGACCAGGTTGTCAGTGACAGGCAGAGGTCATGTGACTTGACAGGCCGGGGTCGTGTTGTGACTTGTTGACCTGGGGAGGCGGGTCAAGTCCCAGCACACTACCCGGGAAGCCTTTGGGGGCGGGGCAGGGCAAGTCGCGACTTTCATCTTTTGGGGCCGGTTCCTCCCGGACCTGGCATTCCTGGCTACCCCAACAGATTGTGGCTTCGGAAGGGGCCCCTCCCGGGGGAAGGCTGGGATTGGCCACCAGTGGCCTGGGAAGAGGCTCGGATCCTTCCGCTGAGGCCGGGGGGGGGGCGCGGGGGGTGGGGCCCGCGTGGGGTGTTTGTTCTCTTGGGGATTAATGGGGGGTTGTGGGGGAGGGGTAGGCGCGCTCCCGCATGCGCACTGCGGCCCCTCCAGTTGGCTCGTCCTTGTCCGCTGGGCGGGGGCCCGGCCCCGCCCCTCTCCCGTCCGGGCAGCGGCGGCGGCAGCGGCGGCTGCGGCGGTGGCGGCGGCAGCGACGGCGGCGGCGGTAGCAGCCTGCGCGGTGCCTTCTGGGAACGGAATCCCCAGGGCTGCCCCTGGCCCCCATGGCGCATGCGCGGGAGGCCGCTCGGTGATCCGCGGCGGCGGCAGCGGCGCTTCCTGCTAGGACCGGCCGGGGCCGTACCGGAGGCTCGGGCTCCACCGACCCTCCTCCCACTCCCTCCCACTCACCCTCTGGGCCGCGACTGCGCAGGGCGGGGCCGGCCGAACCATGGGCCGCGGTGAGTGCAGGGCCCGGCCCCCCCACCCCGCCCCTCCCCCTCCCCCTCCCTTCCCCTCCCCTCCCCTCCCCTCCTCTCCCCTCCCCTCCCGTCCCTACCCTCTGCCCCCTCCGCGTCCTCTCGGCCCCTTTCCCTGGCCCCATCCCCATTCCCCCGCCCTCACCTGCCCCCACCGTTTTTCCCTCTCACTGCTTGACTTTTGCCTTCTTCACCTCCTTCCCCTCAGTGCTTCGCCCACCCTCCGCCCGCCCTCTCCCCAAGTTCCTTCCTACTTCGTGCGCCTTCCCCTCCTCCCCAAGCCGAGGGAAGCAGGCTGGGTGACAGGCGCCTTGTTATGAGAGGGAAAGTTTAGAAGCCGCCAGTGTGGGGTGGGAGCGATGGTAAGGTTGGAGAGGATACTTGCAGGTTTGGGGGGCGTCCCCATGTACATCAGAGGAGAATTCTTCTTGGAGGTAATTTGAAGCCAGTGGGACAGGAGGTGCTGAATCCCCTTGCCTTAGGCTTGGGGGAAAATTGGGAGTTTCTGAGAATCGTGGGAGAAGACCCAAATGAACTAGATCAGTGATTGTCTAGTGGAGCCAGGCATGGGGGGAGTTATGCTGGTACCACCCCAGCGGGCAGTTGGGCAATTGCCTGGTGACCTGTGGGGCAATCTACTTTTTATATGATCTTCCTGAGGGGGAGGGAACAGCAGGGGCCAGACTCTCTGGGAAACTTCCTAGTGGCCTGGTATTATAGGAATTAGCCCACACTCTTGGCTGAAGGTTTCTCTCCTTGGTGGGACAAAGGGGCCTTACCCTTTATATGCCTAGGGATTGGGCTGTGATTCCTTGGTCCCTGGAAGCTGAGGCTTTGACCCTCTGGTCCCTAGGGACTGGACATGGAAAGGATGGTTGTGGACTCAGCCAGCAGATCCCTGAGATCTTTATGGGTACTTACCTCATATTATTAAGGATCTTTCCCTTGAGAGTTTCCTGGGCTGTGGTACTTTCCTAGCTTGGGCAGATTCCTGACGGTCCCTCCTCTCTCCTGTGTTGCAGGTGTGGGCTAAGCCGGCGGCCCCGGCTTTAGACTGGACCCCACAATGTTTGCAGAGATGTTCAGGTAGCCATGGTGGGATGGCAGAGGGTTCCCCCTCATTCTCTCTCCCAGCTCTCCGAGGGTTTCCCCTTGCCTCCGAGTCCTCTTGAATCTCCCCACACCTTTGCTTTTCTTAAGTGCTCCCTCAGGTACCCAGCCCAGTTTAATCCTCCTAATGCCACATGGATGTCTGTGTTATCAGGCACGTGGGAGCTGATTACACACAATGAATGGGGGCAATGAGAGCAGTGGAGCAGACAGAGCTGGGGGCCCTGTGGCCACATCTGTCCCCATCGGCTGGCAGCGCTGTGTTCGAGAGGGTGCTGTGCTCTATATCAGGTATGACTCCCCAAAATTCCCCAGTTTCTATCCCCAGGCCCTTCAATTGCCTGAGTTTTCTCCCATCCCTCCTCTCAAAGCCCAGATTGCTGGTGCCCTGTTCCTCTTCTCTGTTCCTCCTCCTTCCTCAGCCTTTTTGCTCTCTTTGTCTCTGGCCCTTTGCATTTCTTCTCTCTGTCTCTTCCTTACTCTGCCCTTCCTAGGAAGGTCTTTGACTAATGAACTGTTCTTTAAGAGTCTCTCCCAATTCAGTGTCAACTAATCCCATACTCTCTGACCCTGTCCTCTCCCAGCCCAAGTGGCACAGAGCTGTCTTCCTTGGAGCAAACCCGGAGCTACCTCCTCAGCGATGGGACCTGCAAGTGCGGTCTGGAGTGTCCACTCAATGTCCCCAAGGTCAGAGTGGTGAGGGGAGCCGGGGAGTATAGGGATAAGCCGAGAGACTTAATGCAAATCGCTGACTGTGGTAGCTCTTCTCACAGATTCTGTTCCCTCAGGGTCCCTGTCCATGCTTCCACCTTGCAGGTTTTCAACTTTGACCCTTTGGCCCCGGTGACCCCGGGTGGGGCTGGGGTGGGGCCAGCATCAGAGGAGGACATGACCAAGCTGTGCAACCACCGGCGGAAAGCCGTTGCCATGGCAACTCTGTACCGCAGCATGGAGACCACCTGCTCACACTCTTCTCCTGGTGAATCTTTTCCACTTTACAGAGACTGAGGAAAACTTAAGGGCCTGGAAGAGGGATGGTGGGAAGAGCTTTGTGAGAGGGAAGCAAGGAGAAGGGTGGAGTGGGGAGCTGCTTGGTGAGAGGAGGGTACAGGGAAGCTGGGAATTTATGGGAGAAGGGATGGAGAAGACAAAAGAAAGTTCTTGGAAGGGGAGCCACAAGTTGATCCTTTGTTTCTCATTTATTGCAGGAGAGGGAGCGAGCCCCCAAATGTTCCACACTGTGTCCCCAGGGCCTCCCTCTGCCCGCCCTCCCTGTCGAGTTCCTCCTACAACTCCGCTTAATGGGGCTCCTGGCTCCCTTCCCCCAGAACCACCTTCAGTTCCACAGGCTTTCCCCCCTCTAGCGGGCCCTGGGGGGCTCTTCCCACAGCCAAGGCTTCCCGACCCAGTCCCCTCTGGAGGCAGCAGCAGCCCTTGTTTCCTGCCAAGGGGTAATGCCCCCTCTCCAGCTCCACCTCCTCCACCTGCTATCAGCCTCAATGCCCCCTCATATAGCTGGGGAGCTGCTCTCCGATCCAGCCTGGTGCCCCCTGACTTGGGCTCTCCTCCAGCTCCCCATGCCTCCTCCTCA